ATTTTTTCTGTTCATTTCCTCCATCAATTGCTCCATCCTATCTTGCCTAGTACAGAACCTTTTCAACATTTGATCCCATGAATTTTCAATCACACTCATAGCTCTCGATTTCTTTTCAAACCTTTTCAATTGTTCTTCCTAATTTTTGACAAGAGCTCCCATTTCCCATATCTCGTACTACTCTGATACCATTTGTTATGGTTAGATCTCAACTTCAACCAATAACCAGCAGAGAAACTCAAAATATAGAGTAAAAATTGCAATTACTCAAATGCGGGAATATAAACTGAAGTTAATAATAAGAATCAGTTAATCTCCAACCAAAATCAACACATTCATTCCCTTAATTGATCATTCTATTACAATGCTAGGGATTACAATGGATTACAATTAAAAGACAAATATAAAAGAGAAAGATGGAGACTAGTAGATAGATAAGAACAGAGAATTGAAGAACAAATTAAGAGTAGAAGAGAGCAGACAAAAACAAAAAGAAGAGAAGAAAAAGAGGAAAAGGGAAGAAGAGAAGAAGAAGGAGCTTACCAGAAAGGGAGAAACACAGAAAGCAGAGAGGAAGAGAAGAAGAATAATTAAGATGACTGGTAGCAAGGCAAGATTCAATTCATCCATTCATAACCCTTGTTCATCATCCCAACAAAATCATATAGAACAATCCTAAGAGTAAAGGGCTTTGGGCTAGCCCAATAAAAATACAAGCCCAACTAACCAAAATAAAAGATAAATGGCCCAATTCATGACACAAGCTACTTCCTAGCCGAGTCTTGCAATGCATATGGAAATAGTCAAATATTCAATAGTGTTGCACATGTCCAAAAACCTCGAGACGTGAGTATTTGGATTATCGTTTGATATTCCATAAAACTGCAAGCCATTTTGGAACATACTAATTACATCTTTTCTCAAGTGAAATTTGCTAGCCCAAACTTCGGATAAGCTATGCTCATCGACTTTGAGTACTGGCAACCATGTATTCACTATAAATATATTATTCTCAATAACATTCACATTTGGCAGATTTTTTACATCTTCATTATTACCAAGGCACCTAGATTTGCTATATTTCTACTTTTTTCTTATTTGCATGACTGTTCTTTTCATTTCAGCATATATGTTTGTTCAATTTTCGAACTAAATGAAGCAAGATTACCACTCGAACTATGCACAAAAGATCTTGAAAAGAGAGAGAAAAAACTATAACATATGATGATTAAACTAGAATAAAACAATAAAATTTTAGTATAAGTTTTCAAGTGTGAAGATTGCCACTAAACTTCTGTAAGTAAGTCTCAAAACCTTAAATCAATAAGAAAGGACATATAAAGAATCACTAGTGAATAAATATATTTCTCAAAGTATGTAGTCAAACCCAACGTTATTAGGAATTTTAGATTAAAAAGCTCATAATTAATTTTATCAATGTATATCTTTTCTTTCTCCCCATTTCTGCAAGCACATATATATAATTTTTTTTTTCATATTTTCTTTTTTTTCCCTTTCATATCTTATGTACGGACTTAATTTAATTACATATACTTAATAACCTTTTTAACGAGTTTTACACCGAGGGCTCTAGACTTATATGATTATAAGGCTCCAGATTTTAATATATCTAACAAGCTTAGTTGCGTGAGTCGAAAAGAAGACGAAGACAAGTATAAGATATATCACGATTATTCAATTCCTTTGAATGACAACACTCTTTTTCTTTATTAGGAGCATACAAGAGCTTATGTCAACTAGTTAAAGAAAAATCCATATTCAAAGTCAACCTACCACACAAATAACCGACATCTTAAGTCTCATGCAGGAGATAATTTGCCCACAAGCATCATGGCATAGGTAAAAGGGAACAAGGAGGCAAGTCACCCCATCTTCCACATATCTTGCTCATTTGACATGTGATCAAAATCCACTGACAAGAGCTTAATCTGTGTAATGCAAATGATACATGCAATTACTTGTACCAAGTACTTCAAATAAGTTCTAAATAAAGCTAATGGAATCTTTATTCACAGTTTATAAATGTTACTAGCACTTGATCACAAGATAACATATCCAATCAATATTAAATGAAAATTCCTTTTTCCCTTTTCCCTTTCATACTTTTTTAATTATAAAAAAATGCAAAACAAATAAAATAATGTGACTTGTGAGTTCACTCTATTTGACTCTATCCTTCTTAAAAGAAGATGTAATCATAGTTAATTGAGTCATGAATTCAGTCAAGTGACTTGATTAGTTAAGAATCTATTGTGAGTAATTAGATCTTATTTGTTGTTCCTAATCAAGGGCTTCTGATACTATGTCTAATGTGACCTAAAACATGATGAACTTAGGGGCAACTTGGTTTTAGAAGATAAAGCAGCATGATTGCTAGGATTATTCCATCCTAACATATTGTCAATCTCTTAGAAGTACTAGTAAATGATCGAAGTTGGGCACTAGTTTTCTCAAGGTCAATAGTATAGTCTTAACCTTAACTTCTGCGAACTCCTTTTCTACCCTTAACTCATTCAAACTTGTCTTGTAAACTCTCATTTTCTAACTTAAATTTATACAATTTCTTAAAGGATGAGCTATTCAACATTTTCAACTTAAGGCACTCCTCAAATAATTCATCAAATGCCTCGTAAATGGCATGATCTATCACCTTCTGAATCTTCATTTGAAGAGTCAGATTTTTCTATTTCCTCAAGTGACTTGCTATTAACCATATAAGTAAATGCCATATAATTGTCTCCGTTATTAGGATTGGAGTTCTCACGTTGATTATCAGAGCTAGATTTTGCATCAGTGAGAGTAGCATTCATAATATTACCTCAGGTTTTTTTATAGCTCAAGCACTCAAATTTAACATGACCATACACTAGCACTCATGACACCTTACAGACCATTTCTAGCATATATACCGTCACTTTTTTCCTTTTGTTGTTCCTAGAAATGCTATACTTTAAACTTTGTTCTTAAGGAATTCCTTAAATTTTCTAGCAAGGTGGGCAAGTTCATCATCCTTAAATTTGTATCATTAGTGATGTCACAATCAGCTTTCTTAATAGTTTAAGGGCTAAAGGATTATTATTTTTAGGCCTCAGTAGGCTAAGTTCATATTTTTGGAGATATCCTACAAGCTCTTCAATCTTAATTGCACCTAGGTTCTTGATTTCATCAATAACTTTTGGTCTAAATCTCTTAGGTAGGGATTTTATTATCTTTTTGACAATCTCAACCACGAGAATTCACTCACCTAAGTTAAGACTATATAGTTGATTTTATCATTCAATTTAACATAAAAATCATCAAAAGACTAATCACCTTTTATCTTAATTTCCTCAAATTTAGCAGTATCTGCAACTTAAAGTTTTAAACATTTTTGGTTCCCTCATATGTGGTTTCTAATATGTCCCCGGCTTCTTTTGCATTCTCACACATGGACACTCTTAAACTCTTAGGCGAAATAGTCACAACGATGGCATGTATCCCTCTACTATTCCAATTGGACTCATCTAAATCATTTCTTAGACCAAGAGAAACCTCGATAGAGGTAACTATACCTCAACAGATGTAGAATGGACAGTTCAACCTTTTTGTATACCTAACCCCATTCAACCGTAGACTTAAGAAAGTCTTTCATTCTAACCTTCTATTAGGCATAATCACCACCAACAAAATAAGGAGGAATGGAAAGTGATTGACTCATCTAGACAAATATAGGGGTCAAGAATCGAATTTATGCTCTCATACCGCTTGTTAGATGAACATTTAGACCTAAATGTGTGGAATAATCAATAACAAGTAACAACTCACTTAATAATTGTTTCTAGATGGAATAAGTTTAAAATCAATTTAAACCAAAAATTAAGTAACCAAAAATGTATAGATCAAAAGTATAAAAAGTACATTATACCAGATATGATTATGGCGGAAAATCCCTTGAATTATTCTTGATGGAAATCAAAAACCTCAGGACAAACTTGCCAATAAAATCCAATAGAAAATTTAACTTAGAATTAGTCCAAATATCACTAACTTTAGCAGACTTTGGTCACCTAACTTGTAAATCACCAAGGAACTCCTTTGATTTTTAGACTCACACTTCTAAGTAGCTCTGGGCTATTTTTCTCTTCAGTGGATCACGAATAATGAACTCGTTTTGGAGCATTGGAACTCTAAATACCTTTTCTCCGCACTTTAGAACTTCGATGGCTTATAGGTGAGGTAAATTTTATTTGGTGTTTGATCAAATGATCTATTTATGTTTTGATCTGTGACTAAAGCAAGAGATTTATGAATGTATGGACTTAAACTTCAATGTATATTCTCGACTTAAAATGAGGCTCAACCATTGTAACAAGGTTTGGGATAAATTAATGAAAAATAAACCAGGCGGTTGAATACAGAGATCTTTGAAATTGCTATTGACGTTCAAGAATGTGATATCTATAATGAATATAATGATTCAACACACTTTAGGATGTTCCATGTCTTGTAAATTTATAATAGGTAGTATTTGGGCTGAATAGGATTGAAAAATATAGTCAAAATCAAAATACTTTGCGCCTTGCGAGCGGTTGACATGCTGCTCAAGCACCAAGGTCTCGGAGGTTGAACGTCGATGCTCCTGTTCTGAGTGCTCAAGCACGAACTAGGAGCACAGCAAGCGATCGGGGTCCCAATCATGATCTACTTTTTGAAGTCTATTTCTTGAACTTCTTCTTGAATTTTTCAGACTTCTTTTAGGACTCTACGAACCCTAAACTATTTAAACTATAATTACAACTCAATAACTCATATTTTAACTTTAATTACAACTCAATAAACCCATGATTTTGAATATGAAAATTGTGAATTACAAATCTAGAAAGTGCTAATTAGCTAATTACAAACTTGACCTAACAGTTATGATGTGGTAAAGTCCTTAGAAAGCCGAGTTTCAATGAAACATGGGTTGACCTTGTTGGCCGACAAACTTAAATAAACAAAGGTCATACAATTAGAGTAGAATTCAACGCTTGAAACTCAACCTAGGCAAATGGATACATCAAGGGTATCCAGATCTTGATCTACTTTTTGAAGTCCGTTTCTTGATCATCTTCTTGAATTTGTCAGACTTCTTTTAGGACTCTACCAACCCCAAGCTGTTTTGACTATAATTACAACTCAATAACTCATATTTTAAATTTAATTACAACTCAATAAACCCATTATTTTGAATGTGGAAATTGTCAATTACAAATCTACAAATTGCTAATTTGCTAATTACAAACTTGACCTAACGGTTATGATGTGGCAACGTCCTTAGAAAGCCAAGTTTCTATGAAACATAGGTTGACCCTGTTGGCCAACAAACGTGAATAATTACAAAGGTCATACAATTCGAGTAGAACACAACTATTGAAACTCAACCTTGGCAAATGGATGTACGACGAAATGCAACAAATTCATAACATTAAAATAAAATTCAAAATATTATTACTTAGAAATTACTATAAATCTAAGTGAAATAAAATGCCGCATGGTACCTAAGATTGTAGTCTTCCAAAGATAAAAGTAAACGAATCTAAGTTACTTATACATTTGCTTCTAAAAACGACAAGTTTCATTAGCTGAACTTAAAAATCCACTACATTTATTAAGTTTAGACGGTAAAAAGGTGTAACAAATGAACATTAAAACATGCGTGTCCCTCCATACCTATAAAGGATGTATTGAGAGCCACTGGTGTAACATCACAAGACATTCTTTAGGGTTGTACTCTGGTGCGGTATGACCAGCACCTGCAAAATAAAATTGCCCTTTCATTTTATGTTTTTCTACAAATCTTTGTGAGAATGAGCATAGTCAACTTTTCTTGCCTTCACTGTTGCAAATGTGAGATTGAATTCATTCTTCCTATACTTCATTGTGTATCTACAAGGTAAAAAGTTACTTAAACAAGAATTGGAAACCAACCCTGCGACTTGGCTATTAACATGCCAAGGTCTCCAGTTGTCGACAAGAGTCAGATTGAGATTGGTAATCCATTTTAAAGGACCCATGTAAGGTGCAACCATGTCATGATCACCGCTGAAAAGAAAAGAAGCATAATAGGAAAAACATATAAATTTTTATATTTGTATAGTCAAGTTATCCATTAAATGATCTACCATGAAATATAAACCTGCAAATATATTTTAGTTGATTGATAAGATTAGACTTAACAAATTAAGTCACAAGTTCAATTTAATCAAGAAACTTATATGACTTACTTATATATTAAAACATTGTATCCTTCCTTGCTTAAAATGTTATGATAATGAAGAACACTTTCTTGATTTGCTTTATAAGATAAGGTTTGGTTGCATCTCGTCCAGTCTCCTATTGTCTCCTGGTGATCAAATTAAGTGATTGCCTTAAATTTTTTTATAAAATATACTATTTTATTTTTTTGATAGCAAGAACATGGTAAAGCATACCAATCTTTAATATTTTCTATTTTACGCACCTTTCTAATATGAAGAGCTTCTTGGACAGTTTGATTATTTTCCCAAACATAAGATGTTGCATAATATTCTATTTTCTTTTTGCTGATATCTAGCACGTACATTGTATAGCATACCGTATCGTTGATATTTACTATTTAACGTACCTTTCTGACATGAAGAGCTTCTTGGACAGTTGGATCATTTGCCCAAACATAAGATGTTGCATAATTTTGAGTCTGCAAAAAAGAAACCTGTTCTTGAAATATAAAAACAAGTAAATGTTGCTATAAGCTTGTTTCCTACCCAACGTAGTTGTCAAAAAGTTTTTTCTTTAGTGGCAGAGTGTTGACTTACTTTTTAGAATAATAAATTTTAGCCAACTTACATCATATATATATATATATGGAGAGAGAGAGAGAGAGAGAGGATTAATTCAGTTACACGACACCACGTTCGATCTTGTTCTGATGCTGGGAGGACGAGGTGGTCAACAAAATATTCTTCCCGAAATCTTTGATGCCATCCAAAATCATCTGGTTTTGGTGCTATGAATTTACATTTTGGTTCCAATATCTGAGCATGATTTATTTGGTTTACACACTGCAATATTTGATCAGAGAGTGAAACTTTTAGGGTTAGGACCATATATAATTAATTTTAAAGGAAACCAAAAATAAAATAAGATAACATGTTACCTCTTGGATAGGTTGAAGGGCTAAAAGACATTGCACATTGTTTGGATCAGGATTGTCATATTTTCCATCACAGTTGACTTTTGCTAACTGAAGTTTCGCCAAGTAATTACTCAAGAATAATATGCAAAATGCTATATTTAAACATCAAAATAGTTGAATAAAAAAGATTACCTCAAAATATTCGTCGGATATAAGTGCCATGCGGTGAGCATATGGAATTCGTTCATTATAATCAATGTTTGGATCCGTTAGTCCATTGCCAATGATGTACCCCTGTTTTGATTTCAAAATTACTCCACCGTTAACACAAAAAATGTCGTAGTTTGAAAAATAAATAAGTTCATCTACGCTAAACAATACTTGGAGGGACATTTGTGGCTGCAATCCTGCTTTGTTACCTGCATTACAATCAAGAGTAATAACGTAATCAAGCTTGTTTGGACGACAAGAAGAAATTGTATAAAATATTTTCAGCTTTTTTTCTTAAATACTATCTAGTAATATTTCCATGGCAACCATGGGAACAAGTTTGCCTCCATAGGATTCACCCACAACATATAGACGATTTTTTATAAACGTGGGGTGACTCAATAACCACTGTATTATTTCCAATATATTGTTAGTTCAAAACCAACCAAAAAAATGGGGGCTGAGTGCATATATGGTTAGGAACATGTGAGGACTAATAAGTTCAACATCAAACTTCATTTCTATTTCCTTCAATTTCAACTTGGGAATACTACATGCATGATAAATAATGTCGACCAACCTTCCTAAGAAATGTATAACTATCTTTTGCTGATTTTGTGTCTGAGGAAGAGTAACCTCTTGATGTGTTCGAATACGAAAATCCAGTACCGACAGGAAAATCAATGAATATAATATTGGCAACCTGAAAATCGAATAATTATATTATAAACGTAGAGAGCTTTTGAATCATATATGAAGTGAGAGGTATTTTTACCTTGGTCCATGAATGTGGATTTAGGAGAATAGATGGTAAGCTTCCATCAAAATTCACAACATCAAAAGGTAATGGACCTGAACACAAGCATAATGGTGTGAGAATAATAAAAGTTGTATTATAAATTATAAATCAAAAGAATAATATTCTGGCTTTTAGGATTTCGATCCAAAAAATTCCGTTAGCATTTGGCTTTTCAGTCTGTAAGTTCTTCAGCACTCGTTTCATTGTTTCAAGAAAAAAAATTTAAAAAATTCAATTTTATTGTTTATAATATTTATTTTTTTAATCTTATTCCCAAAATTTTTAGTTCTTCTGCCAATTGTTTTTGAATTTTGTACTTTTTAGAATTCGAATTAGTAACTTAACATTTGCTTTTAGTTCCACTAATTTGTATTTTTTGAGTATTTGTTATAATTGTTTAAATGGACATATCAGAAGTTGGTACTTATATATCAATCACAACTTTTGGACTACAAGGAAACTATATGGAAATTAATGTTGTCATTTTCAAGAAGAGTAATTAGCACAAAATGTCTTTTCTTTTCAATGTTATTGTGCAAAACATTCTTACTTTTCATTTTTTGACATTTTCACTCTTACTTTCACCTTTTATTACGAAAATCATTCTTTTCATCAAATTTCACATGTAAAATAACAAATATACCCCTTATTTAAATAAAACAATAAAAAAGAAACAAAAGTCAAAGAATAAATTGCAATCATTCTCCCAAACTTTTTTAAAATGTGTAAATGAATCAAAATAAATTATTAAAATGGTAATTAGCATTAAATGTCTCTACATTTTAATATTACTGTGTAAAACGTCTTTACATTTCATTTTTTTGCATTTCCACCCTTACTTTCACCTTTTATTGCGAAATCAATTTTTTAATCAAATTTCTCATCTAGAATGACAAATATATCTCTTATTTAAATAAAACAATATAAAAGAAAAGAAAAGAAAAGTCAAAGAATAAATTGCAATCATACTCCCAAACTTTTTTAAAAAGTGTAATAAGTCCAAATAAAATACTAAAAGGATAATTAGCATTAAACGTCTCTACTTTTTAATATTATTGTGTAAAACTCCTTATCTTTCATTTTTTTGACATTTTTAACCTTACTTTCATCTTTTATTGCGAAAATCGTTCTTTTAATCAATTTTCTCATGTAGAATGACAAATATATCTCTTATTTAAATAAAACAATATAAAAGAAAAGAAAAATCAAAAAATAAATTACAATCATATTCCCAAACTTTTTTAAAAAGTGTAAATGAGTCCAAATAAATTATTCAAAGGGTAATTAGTATTAAACGTCTCTATCTTTTAATATTATTGTGCAAAACGTTCTTACATTTCATTTTTGGCACTTTCACCCTTACCTTCACATTTTATTGCGAAAATCATTCTCTTCATCAAATTTTCTCATGTAAAATGACAAATATACCTCTTATTTAAATAAAACAATAAAAAAGAAAAGAAAAGTCAAAGAATAAATTCTAATCATACTCCCAATTTTTTTTTTTTAAAAGTGTAAATAAGTTCAAATAAGTTATTAAAATGTAATTAGTATTAAACGTCTCTACCTTTTAATATTACTGTGTAAAACGTCATTATCTTTATTTTTTGACATTTTCACACTTATTTCATATTTGCAAAGATCGTCATATTCATTCATTTTCTCAATTAAAAGTTGTAAAATAAAAATATACAGTCCTCTTTAAATAAACAAAAATAAAGAACAAATTACAACAATACTCTCAAAATTTTCAAAAAAGTACAAATAAATTCAAAGTTATTTTTTTTTAATCTAAACATAAAGCAAATCATTGGTGGGAATTGAATTAATGTTTAATTTTCGCTGTATATGATTAAATAAATTCCATTTTCTCAATTAAAAGTTGTAAAATAAAAATATACAGTCCTCTTTAAATAAACAAAAATAAAGAACAAATTACAACAATACTCTCAAAATTTTCAAAAAAGTACAAATAAATTCAAAGTTTTTTTTTTTTAATCTAAACATAAAGCAAATCATTGGTGGGAATTGAATTAATGTTTAATTTTCGCTGTATATGATTAAATAAATTTCCAGCAAACTGAGCCTAGAAAAAGAAAATAAACACTTAATTTAGTCTATATAGATACACATAAAACATATATACACATATTTATATAGAGTCATTACCAATTTCATAGGCGAGGGATGATAAGCCAGAGCAACTGTTGGAAAAATAATTAGTTGCAGCAGTGATCAGAACAATATAATGCAGAAACATAAAACTTATCGATCGAGTCTCGTGACAGCACGATGTCCTAAAGTGAAATTGTCCGTCAATAATTGCTGTGACCTCCGTGGACAATCACTCACAGGATACAATGATCGTAAACCACTTATGCAGCAATCACGAATGGTTTTTCTAGAACTTTCAATTGTACTCCAGAATAGGTATAAAAACCCGAATATAAGAAATTCACAATATGAAAAGAGTGATTGATTCTATTTTCTTTTTGTGTGTCTTTTCCCAAAGCAAATATGGGTTTATATAGGCAAGATGGTAGTAACAGTTTTCACCATGTTAATGCAGAATTTTAATGACTGAGTAGTGGGTGTTTTAATGGCAGTTAGTGGGTTGTTACAAAAACAAACAGTCATAAAATACTGGCTAGTTTTACC